TTTCATCTGAGGAATTAGATGATGGACAAGGAAAAATGCGTGATGATATTTTAGAAAAATTACGTGTAAGTTCATTTACTTGTTATTTCAATAAATTATTTTTTTATTTTTTTGCTTCAAACATTAAATTAGGATCATGTACGTGATGAAGCAGCATTTGTTCGTCAACGTTGTTTACAATTATGGATATCACTTGTAATACAAAAAAGAGTTCCTGTTAAACAATATCTTCGTGTATTTGAACTCGGACTTGATCGATTAAGAGATAAAGCTTGTAGAGTTCGAAAACATGCAGTAACACTTGTTATGCATATGGTTCTTAATAATCCTTATTTAGTTATTGTAAGTTTATTGAGTGAAGATTTTTATTAAAGAGATATTTTTTTGTTTTAGGATTCAACTCGAGCTCAAATTGAAAAAGGACAAAATGATGCTAAAACAAAATTAGTTGAACTTCGTCAGGAACTTGAAAAATTAAATAAAAATATAAAAGAAGATAAAAAAATGGAAGAAAAAAAGTCTCAATCGGATGATGAAGATAGTGGAGGTGAAGATAACACTATTGATGAAGATAATGAAGTTGATGTTGATAATAATCAAGTAAATATTTAAATGAAAAAATTTTTTAATAAAATTACTTTTTTTTTTCTTAAATAGAAAAAAGAAACAGAGGAGAACAAACAATCAATTGAAGAACAAATAATGCATGTCGAAAACGTTGTTACTTTTTATAAAGTAAATAGGTTTTTCTAATTACAAACTTCTTTTTTATTTTTTGATGAATTTCTTTTATTTTTAGGATGGTTTTCGATTCATAGATTTAATGGAACAAGCAAATCAAGATGTTGTAAATTTATTTAAATCTCCAACATTAGCTGATTGTATACAAGCTATTGATTTTTTTGTTAATCTTCGTCATTATCGTCCTACTTTGCCAAATATGGAACAAAATTTACGTTTAATGTTTCGCCTTATTTGGTCTGTTAATGAATCAAAATGTAAAGCACTTAGACAAGCTTTTGTTAAATTTTGTTTTGATGTATCACCAACTATTCCTCCAATGTATGTTTGTTTTAGATTAACATGTCAATTTCTAATGAATAAATTTATTTTTTAGACATATTCCTTTGTATCAAGCTCATGCTATAATTCGTGCTCTTAAAGATGCAACATATGAGGAAGAATTATATTTTAAAGAAATTCTTAAACAATTAATAGAAGAAAAAAAAATTGCAACTGAAACTATAACTGAAGCTTTATGGAAATTTTATCAATTGCCATATGATGATAATACTGATGTTATTGCTGGCAAAATTCTTACATTTATCGTTGGGTAAAACTTTTTTTTCTTCCAATGAATTATTTAAATATTTCATTTTTTTTTTTTTTTTTTTGTTCAAATAGAAATGAAGTTAATACAAAATTAAATGATATAACTGATATTATTCAAACTAAAGAAAAAAATCATCGTTTTGTACATATATCTTGTTTACTTTTACAATTAGCGGCTACACCAAAAAAGGTTTTTAGAAAGATTGTTTTTGTAATTGAAATATTTATTTCATATTAAACATAGATTGAAAATGATATTCGACCAAAACAATTTCGTTTACCAAAAACTCATTGTCTATTTGAAATTCTTAGCAAAATTATTGTGTCAAGTAATAAAAAAATTATTATTTCATTTTAAATTTTATAGATTTTTGTTTTAGCATTTGATGATGTTTTCAATCAAGAATGGAAACCAATGCTGGAATCAACATTTGATGTTATAGTTAAATTAGCTGATGATCCAATAAAACATATTGAAAATATAATAAAAAAACTTG